GCTCCGCTCTGTCCTTAAAGGTGAATGTGATTGCAGTCTTATGAATCCTTCCCATAAAACAATACACACAGCAGGACATTTGTGTCTTTGGGTATGTGCTACTTGCAAGTGCCCATCAAAAAGTTGTGTCATGTATACACAGGTCCAACAGGGAGAACAGATCTCCGCAGACAAGTACGTTTTTGCTCCACTGTCTATACTCTTGTTTACCGACATGGATGCATATCCATAAGGATTTACTAAAAACAGAGGCTCTATAAGAGGATCAGCTTTGTGCCTTAAATTAATAAGTACAGGATTTTGCTGAGTTCACCACTGGAGTGAAGTGTTCACAATGGGCTGTGGCAACTTCCCTGGGGATGACATCTGGTTTTTTTTGGAAGGAGGAAGGAAGGTAGGCAAACCAAAGCGAAAGGGGACAGAAGAAGAAGAAACAGTTTTATATGTGGTCAGATTGTTTTTTAATTCCTATGAAGTGGATTTGCCCTTCCTGGCAATATCCAAACTTGTTCTACAGACTTCAGAAGGACATTAACAGCTGCAAAGGACCTTGTGGGTCAGATTTTCCTTTTCTTTGAAGGGAGTTAGTCTCTTTAGAGTAAGCTAGAGGCAACGGGATGAGGAAGAACCTGCCCTCATCCGTGCTGCCTGGAGGAGATTTGGCTAACTTGGATCAAATAGAATGTAAATCCTGAATATCTAATACTAGTACAAAGATCTTTTCTCCCTCTCCACATTCATTTGGAATTGTGGTGGAATTAACTTCCAGATGGGCTAATGCCTCTTTTGAGCTGTAGTTAGTTCAGAGCACTCACTCACAACTGTGTTTGCATTACTCTCCCCCCATTTGCGTTCTTGACCACTCTTAGGAGATGGGATTCATTGCTGAACTGTGGTCGGCGTTAAAGCACACTGTAGATTTCCGTGCATCAGTGTCACAAGCTAAAATTGGTCTGGGTTCCTGTTCAAAGGAAATTCCACTTGCTCCACGTTATGTTGTATAATATGAATTTTGTATATTTCCAGAATGTGCCTAAGTTGAAAGGATTATATATCCAGGTAGGCTATGCATTGAGAAATACATACTGCTTATATTTGAAAACCTTAGAGATAAGCAAAAAATGGTATTTGTTCTTCCCTCTAACCTTATTGTCTAAACTAGAGCCTCACTCACTGAGGAAATGGCTTTTGGTTGAGATATTTCTAGCCAACTTATTGGATCTCAGTTTTTTTCTTACAGTTTTGTTTTGGATTTTTTTTTTAAAAAGGATCGAGCAAGGAGGAACCACCCTGTCTTCTTTGTCAAGTCAGCTAATAAAATGAAAACCATCCATTTAGCCCCAATCCAACTGGGGAATTCTAAACATTTGGAATAATTATACTCAATTATGTTTGCTTGGCGTTGAAACCCCTGTTCACTGAAGAAGAGCTCTTCTTCAGGAGAAGCAGCTTGTGTTTCTCCTTGGAGCCAATGGGCTGTCCAAAGTAAATGTGGAACCCTAAGTTGAGTTCCGGGTGCCGAAATTTCAACTATACTGCAATGTAATCACCTGGGTTACCTTCAAGGTTTTCCTTTTATCTAAAGGATGAAATAAGCTTGATGGAGTGTTCATTTAGTTACTGAAT